CGGCTGCTCTGTTGCCGTGGCCGATATTATCTGCTAAGCTGTCTCGCCCTGTCAGCGCCTGCTGCGTCGTAGCGTGCGGCCTTTTGAAGCAAAAAAGCAGGTCACTTTGAAAGCTTACAGCCCCTCCCTGTCCACGGCAGAGGGGTCAGGAAAAAGCAATTTGCATTTTTAACAAGGGGAACAGTGCGAGTGGAGTGTCGCTGCTACTTGAGCTCCCTGAAGGGAGGAGCAGAACCCTCCTATCACATTTGACACCTTCTTAATAGAGAGGCACGGCCACGCTGCAGCCTGCCTAGAACAAAAACTAGATTCATTATCCTGTACTGAAACATGCATTTGATTTAGTATGTTTCATTATTTATTTTACTGTTCAGTAGAACTGTTCTAGTTTAGAATCTGCCTCCCGACATAATTTGATTTTTGTTTACTTCAATTTGACCAAATCATTTTAGTACTTGAGGGATATATTTACACTTTGACCTCAAGCAACAGGCAGCCGTGCACTTCTGCACATCCACCGAAGACTCATTTCCTGCTGCATTGTTTGATTTTTGTCTGCCAAATTTGAAGATACACTAAATGTGCACTTGGGATACGTTTGTCTTCAGGGCTTATTTTAACCCAAACCACGATCTTTTCCTAAACCCAAGCAGATAGGTTTGTTCCCTAACAATTTTTGGCTGATAGGGTGTTGAAGGCAAACTTCTTCCATGTGCACCAAATGCTTTTCATGTTCATATAACCTGTGATATCATGGGAAATAATCTTTTGATCAAATCTCATACATGCAACAACAATGATCAAATGCATTTTTGTTATTTTGAATTTGAATGAGATTCTTTAAGGTTTTTAGACTCTTAACTGTGTCGAGGGACGGAGATGTTAGTTCATGACACCTCTGAAACTCAGCTTGCCTTTATGGGCCAACCAAACCAATGTACTGTACATTTCCTCCCCTACTGGAATGGGTAATGGCCTAAAGACAACAAGGTGTATTTTTCATCCATCCAAAATGTGTTTTTTTGGAGTGTAACGAGCATTAAAGCCTTGCAGGTTGGCAAGCGTGGCTGCAGACTTTTTTGTACATGAGGACCATTGGAGTGTTGAAGGACATTATAATGTCAAATATTTCCTGTGCTGGTATGTCGTAGCACAGGGCATTTATAAAAATGTTAAACGACGCTGCCATCTGAGCCAGAGGAGGGACTGCTGATGGATGGCTCGGAGCGCTGCAGGAGTGTTGGAGATGCTGGACGTGACGCATTAATCAATGTGTCTGACCACACAGCCGGTCAGAAAGATGTAGCGCCTGACATGTTCAGACCCCATTGTTTATTAACCCAACACATCATTTGCACGCAGGCGAAGGTTAACGAGACAGAGATAACCCGTTAAATGACCAATTCATCATTCAAACAAATTGTAGCTCCAATTTTGTCCTTTTCTCACATACACTTCTAGACAGACAAACATGGAGGTTCAGTCACTTACGAGCACATCTACACAAAAAATTCTGATAAAACCCTTCAGGAGCTGCTCTATTTTTTGTTTTTTTTATTCCTTGTACTTTCCTCCTTGTGTAATTTGTCTGCTTTATCTCAGACGAGGGATTGAGCTGGCTTTTCGGTGCATGTTTAGATAGCCCGGACATCCATTATCAGTCCGAAGCAAACCTGATTTAGGACCTCAGTAAAAGAATTACTCAGGAGGAGAGGAGAGCGCCGTGATTCTGTCACCTTCTCTTCCAGCCTCGGCCCCCATTGCTGCTCTTTAATTGGGCCGCTAATCAATTAAGGCCTGTGTGCGAAAAGATCGTCTCGGCCAAGTGCATAAATGAGGGCGACAGTCGGAGCTGTGAGACAGACAGAGGTGACTAAACGGAACACATTTTAAGTTCAGTTTCATACCATCCCGCTGCTCACAACTTTGCTACACAAACACATGAATCAGAGAAATCACTCTTCTCTTAATGACTGCAGCTGTTTATCCTGATCTTGTTTCACTTGAGTTATTCATTTCGGGCCTGGATAGTGATCTTAAGGTCACCACTGGGTCTGAATAATGAGGTTAATGTGTTGTGGTCTTTCTTTAGTCCATAGCTTTAGCTTAATAGCCTCACCAGGATCGTTAGCTCAGCGATCTTACAGAAACTACTCACCACCTTTCCAAACCCTCCAGAAATCTATTATAAAGAGACATTTTAGATGCAAATGAAGCATGAAGACGGGTAATGCTCAAAACCAACTCGTTCGTACGGTGTGTCGTCCAAGCATGTTGGAAAGCAAAAGTGTTTACAGCTGTAAAGAACAGCCATACTTAGGTGGGTATAAAGACAGAAAACAGGCCTGCAGTTGAGCATTTTTCTAGCTATGAGACAATATGGAAATATGATCCAGGAAGTCCAGTCTGAGTGACAGATTAATGTGGTCAAACCACGGATGTATAAAGAGAACTGGATACAGCGATGGCGGCGGGGCTATGTTCATTGTGAAAGTTGCTCAGTGGCGCATTAAGCAAAAACCTTTGTCTTCCGAGTACAAAATCCGGATCTTCTGGCCATCTCGAAATAAAGGCTATTCATGTGTTCGTACTGAGTAATGGGATGTCTCGAGGAGCGGTGCACATCTTCAAACGGTCTCTCCTCGAAGGCTTACAAAAAGAGACGAAGAAGTTCTGCGATAACAGGAAAAAAAAAAGAGAGCTTGAAAGAGAAGTTGAAACCTTGCTTATTTTCTCACCTCTTCACACCATCAAAGCTAACGCAGCTGTAAACGCTGGGCTAACAGGGTCCTGGTTTAGACACGCTATGCTATGCTAGGTTGGCTCCACTTAGCAGTAACAGGCAGGTTGTTTGGCGGTTGTACTGTATATCAGGTATTTTGAAATATCACTGTTTATATTTACACCTATGTTCATTTAAAATATGAATGTAGGCCTAATAAGGAATTGGTATATGTAAAAAAAAAATAAAGATTGTTCATTGCTTTTGGTGATCCTGCTTCCCTGGACTGCTGTTGATATAAACAACATGTGAGCTCCAACACAGTAGACATCATTTCACAGAACCGACAGATGGACCTTTGAGGATTCTTCTGTCAGTAAACTGCTCTCCCCTCAAGGCAGAAAACATCCTACAGCTGTTTTGCTGCTGCTTGCTTGATCATTAAGATCTAGATTTTGTGTTTGACTTTCACACTTTCAGCCGCAGCAGGACATTTAAAGAGGTCTGTGACGTGGCGGGACTGACAATGCCGAGAAGAACGAGCGGCCATTTCCACAGTTATTAAGACCGTTTAATAACTCGATTCTTGGAAATCAAACGGCCAAGCTGCAGGCTGTTGCTCCAGCAGCTGTGTCTGGCAGTGTGCCAGACACAGCGGTCCACCTCCTGCTTTATTCTATGAAAAGATTAGAGGGCCGCAGAACTTATTGACTCAGATTTCTCCTCCAGGTATAGAGTAATTAATGCAATTAGGCCCTCTATCTCCGCTCCGGCCTCTTATCAACGCTGTTTCCTTATCGCTTCTGGAAATTTAATTAGAAAAATCTTTCCAATTAATGATTTTGCATAATTAAAGTTAACTTCAACCAGTTGATTCCCTTGTTAATTGCTGGCCAGAGGCATATAAAGAGAAGAGTTGGACAGCTGGACGGAGGTGGAAAGGAATAACAGTATGTATATTACTTAAGTGCTGCACTTAAAGCTCCACTCATCAATATCCTTTGCCCTGTGGTGGCCAAAAGTGTATTAAAGTTTAAACTTTACTTGAGTTTCATTTCATTTCGGAGGGAAATATTGTACCTTTTACTGGAGATGTTTATGGGCCACGTCCGAAAGGGACCCGTGGAAAACCTACCAGAAACTGTATCAATTTGATTTTTTTTTAAGGGACCCATCACAAATCCGAGTCCATCTGGTTACAGTTACCAAGAACTGAGTGGACAAGTAAAGACCTCAACTACATTTATTTGACGGCTGACATTATGAGTGACTTTAAGATTCAGATTTTACAAACAACATGAGATGAGCTCAACAACATAGCACTGTTGCCAAGTACAAATCTTTTATAATATTTCTAGCTGTGCTCTGCAGCATGGCACTGTGGGAGGCAACGTCGATGTGTCTGTCAGTGCACCACTTTTATCCAGATTGAGATTTCTCAACAACTACTTGATGTATTGACATGAATATTGAAGGTTCCTTGAGAATAAATAATTACAACTTTGGGGATCCTGTGAATTTTCTTCTAGCACCAGCAGGTTTAATTTGTAATATGTAAATTACCCTTGTTTTAGTTTAAAGCTGGGTTAGGTAACATTGGAGAAACCAGCAAGGGTACGAAAGATTTAAATTAATTATCCAACCGAAAAAACCCCGCCTTTTGTTGCCCACTCCTTTCAAATGAAAGTAGCTAGCATCACAAGCTCCAAAAGTCGCTACATCCAGCAAGAAACACTGACAGCCCGTCCCCTTCAGACCTCCCTCCGAAGCCATTCCCTCAAAATTATCATAATGAACGTGAACAACAAACATGGCTGTTGTTAGTACTCCCAGCCGTTAAGCTAGCAGCTTGTGGAACACTACGGCGACATGCAAAGTGTGCACGGGGAGAGTGCGCGCAGCTAGACAGGTGGGTAGCCCGTCCAATCATTACAGTCCTGCCACAGCCACAGATACCAGATTATATTTTCTGTCAGAACACTTGATTTGATCTTAATCATTGATTACTGTCAAGATGTAAAGATAATTTCAACAAATATAACAAACAATAATTCCAAAATACATTGCACTTCCTCTATTGTCTGACTTTCAGAGATACAGTGGGTACGGAAAGTATTCAGACCCCTTTAAATTTTTCACACTTTGTTCCATTGCAGCCATTTGCTAAAATCAAAAAAGTTCATTTTATTTCTCATTAATGTACACTCAGCACCCCATCTTGACAGAAAAAAACAAATGTAGAAATTTTTGCAAATTTATTAAAAAAGAAAAACTGAAATATCACATGGTCATAAGTATTCAGACCCTTTGCTCAGTATTGAGTAGAAGCACCCTTTTTAAAATAGCACTGCAGGAATCCCATTACTTTTGATGATGGATTTGAGTACTTATTCTATCTCTGCAGCGTGATACGTACACATCAGAAACAAACACATGCACACAATAGAGACGGAAAGGAAAAGAGACAACAAATGCTCATAAACTGAATGCCATATTTCTTCATCTGGCATTTAGTTTCACCTTTACCTGTTAGTCACTTCTCTCCTCTGCCTTTTCACACGTTTTTAATAATGCCAGCCAACTCAAATGCAAAACACGCTCATAAATCACAAGTGTGTGTGTGTGTATAGGTGTGTGTGTTTGCTGAAGTGACTCCCAGTTCTCTGCAGAGTGCTGCAGGGCGTCAGGGGTGGGAACAGAGAGGTTACTATGGAGCGGAAAGAACAAACAGGAAGCCCGACACCTCGGGAAACTGGTTCAGACACACAGCACAAGATCCACTTGGTCATAGAAAAGTAAACTGGAAATGAAAAATGGAATAATTGAAAGTAAAGGATTATTGTAAGCAAACTGAAAATAACCTACTTGTTGTGCTGTAGGTGCGTTACGGTCCTGGCTTCATCGTGTCATTGAGGTTCGAGCCCTCAATCAGCTGTGTGATTGATGCATCTCCTGCCTCTCCTGCTCCTTGTCCGTCTGTCTCGTTCTCCAGGGAATCCTGATCACATCACCTGCATCACCTCAGAAAAACACGTTTGGAGCAAATTCAATCCCCAGACTTGTCAAGATCATAGGCAGTAAACAAGTCAAGCAGTTTATCGAGGAGCCACAAGAGTGAGTATTAAGATGTGCAGGCATTTGGATTCAAGATACTCAGTCTGATTGTTGACTTAATGTATGAATTTATTTAATGCTTAATTACTGCTTTTGTTTTTCCATCCTCCTGTATTTTTCACGGTTATCCTCCTATTGATTAAATATGGGAGCTTTTCCTTGTAGAATAGAATAGAATAAAATAGAAACCCTTTTTATTGTGATATACATATACACGGAATTTATCACAGAACCAATATCACTTGCCATGTATTTGTGATAATTGTATCAATTTGAAGCCCTTTGATGCTTTAATTGTCATTATGGGATGTACAACTGGAGTTGACCTGATAAAAAAAAATAAAAAAATCCCCAAACAGAGATTCTGGAGAGATGTCAGAGAAAGAAGAAAATCCTCCAGTTGACATATTTAATGATGATTTCCAGAAACCTCCAGGAAAAACAAGATGAGCTGGTGTCCAGGTCTCACAGACAGCTGCAGCACACAGCAGACTCTCTGCACTTTGGGCTGTGACCAACCAGGTATATGGATGATATACAGGATAACATCTAGAACAAGATAGAATCATTTTAAAAGGTGCTAGATCCGAGATTAGGTGCATTTCTATTGCCTCTCAACGGCTTTCAACATGGTGACAGCAGGCCGGTGTCCGTGAGTACCAGAACTTCTGAACTGTATGTAACTTAATCTAGGTGAGTGTAAACACAGTAGACATACTGAAAGCACATGTGCATGGCGGCTTTACTTCACTGATGGTATTTGTGTTTCTCTACAGGTTGTGTGCGACAGCGCCCTCCGGTGATCGCTCCCGGTCCTACATTCACCCAAAGACTCCACAGCTCTGATCACAGAGCAGCTGACCCACTGGAGATAAAAGAACATGTTCTCCTGTGAAATACATCCTTACAAATACAGCTTTCAATAACACTGTATTACAGTAAAATGGTCATGACTGAAAAATTAAACATGTCGATAAAACCTACCTCATATGCAGATTGTGATCTTTTGAAGGTCATACAGCAAGGAGAAGAATGCGAAACCTCTATTTGTGTTACTGGGAAGATCAAGGCTGTGTTTAGTTGGGATACAAATTTAGACACGTTTTGATTATTGTTTAACTTCAAAATGTTTTAAGCTTTAAGCATTGAACAAATGCCAGACAATCACTCGAAGACAGAATTTAATTTAAACTTAAAAAATACATTCCCCTTTTATTTCTCATGTTTTCCTGAATCTTTAAATGTAATCCCTCAGATTGCCTTTTATTTATAGGGGTACGATTACTTAAAACAATATCCTAAATTAAGTTCTTAAAACTCTTTATTTGAAAGGACCATTTGAGGACCATATATGCAACATTACAGCTTCACTTTGCTCTGTTAAGGATTCATTTCCGTTTTAGTTTCCGATCCCAAGCACAACCTCTCTAAATAAAAGCTTTTAGAGGCTTGTTAGGTATATAGAATAAAGGTCGTTTTCATTGGGTCCTGACATCTTCCAGCTCTATGATCCACATCACAGATTCATGGTGTAGCACTGTTGTTAAACTGGACTGGACTGAAGATAAAGCCTCGTATTTATTTCCCAGAAAGGTGTGTCTGAGGATGGAGATAAGGCCCGGCTCTGCTCGGCTGACAGAGAGGAGCTGTCTGATTGGCGGCTCTCCTCTCTGAGATCAACAGAGGACGGGGTGTGGCAGCTCATGATCTCACCTTCAGTGGGACTCTCAATCGAACCGACATCTGGAAAAATTACGTTCCACTGAAATTACCGACATTTTCTCTGCTTCTGCAAATGTTTTCTGATAGAAAGGATCCGATTGAGGTGAGGTAGCAATAATAGTTTTGACTGCACATGCATACAAACCTTTTCTTACAATTTCTTTTGAGTTGAGCGAAAGGAAATTGTGTTTTTCGCCACACGGGGTCGGGCTCTAAACATGGAAATGTTAATCAGTGTGAAAATCCAACACATTGGTAGAGTTAAATATCTTAACAACTACTGGATGGATTGCAGTTAGTTTTGGTAAACTAGACTGGTGTTGACTAGTGTTACCACAACAGCTCAGTTCTACATGTTCAACACATGTCCAGCAGTTCCAGATAAGACCGCTCAAATTGTGATACGTCCTGAACAACATTCTGACGGACCCTGGGAGAACTCAACAAAACAGACAGACGGAAGCTCTACAATTCAAGCAGGGAGGAGGCGTTCTCTTAAATGTCATACAAACCAACGATGGGGCAGGATTTCTTCCTCGCTCACCAACTGCAGCGCTCCTCAGCAGCCCTGAGATCTGTGCTGCCACCAGTAGCCATAAAGTGCATCGCAGCAACACTACAGAGGAAAACGGTTAAAAGGGTGCTATATTCAATATTCAGAGCATTAATATAGCAGCAAACAACAATTTGCTGCGTAAAGATATAGTGGAGTAATGTCTACCTGAGCAGAAGATGAAGTCCAGTCCCGCATGCTTTTTGTGCATGCAAGCGTGTCAACACAGCTGCTCTGTCAGCACTTTTGCCACTGTTTGCGCTATTAGCACCATTAGCTGCGAGTCGTTGCCTCAGCCGTCGCCATGTTAAAAGCTATTGAGAGGCAATAAAGAATGCTCTCAATGCACCTTTAACTGTATGCATGTTAATATTTGTATGTGCTAAACAAGCGCTTGATTGTGGGCTTATGCATGTCAACAAACTTACATGCCAGGAACTTTAAACCACATCTCAAGGTCTTCCTCAGCAGATAGTTCGCCTAAGACATGACTTTGGTCACGTGATTACAGATGGTGGCAAAGTTGCGGTTAACATCTTGTAGTTAACGGCCTTGTGCAGCTGCTAGAGTGATTGTAGTCTATTTTCAGAGCCACAGCGCTGCGACACCTCAAAGCACTACAATGCATTACATGTTGTGGTAGAAATGATTGTGTATGAGTGGAAGATTTGTCTACCTATACAACATATAAGATTATTACCCTTGTAATTATTTGGCACACAAGAGTCTCAGTTAAATGTACACCTTTATAATCATTAATAACCTGATTTCAGGCGTTTAGTACCATGTCTGACTTTGTGTGTACATTAAGAGGCCATGTTAGTTAAGGGTGACATGTTAATCGCAACACACACCCGCCAAGCTGCAAAGCATTGCGCCATTTGGCGCGCAATAATTGACAACCGTAGGACACACCAGATGGGTCCGTAGACACATTCGGTGAAAGTCCCCAATCTGGGGAGCAATCGAGTAAATTAAATCGGTAAACGTGACAATGTTAGCCTGATTCCAGACCTCTGAATCACCGTTCACATCTCCGATTCCTTCAGCGATTCAAATGGATGTGCTGTTGAACTCACTGACAATCGACCAATCAATGCTCGGACATCATCTTCCTACGTAGCTAGAAAAACTACCTCGCAACATCCATCCGAAGTCAACAGCTCCTAGATATGGATGTTTTGTCCCACTGCGAGATGGTTCCGGTTCATCGGAATGGAAATTACTAGACTTAATGTTTGAACGGCGTCACACAAATAAGGAAAGGTTCTACAAATAGAACCTTCCTCATGCTTCCTGAACCCTTGAAGACCTGGTTTGGTTATTGTGTTTAAAACCGCACAGTATCCAGGATCATTCACACTGAAGAGATGAACCCAAACGACACAATAAAGTTGTTTGCTCTTTTTTCTTTATTTTTTGGGGGCTTTTTGTATTTAGGATTTTTTCCCTCTTTTCTTGCTATCCCTGCTTTTGGCACTACATACTTAAGGATGACATGTTAGATTGTTTTTAAAACAAACGTCTATTCAAAGCCTTCATCTTGTGGCGATCAAAGTATGAATACAGCTAATAAAAATAAAGGTTTATATTTTTCCTCCTTACTTTACACATAAAATAAAAACACTTTTTTGGACCCCCTCAAAAATGGGGGTATTACAATATCTTACATTTGTATCACAAATCAATGTAATGAGACTGATAATAAAACATAAAAACTGTACAAAAATGAGAAAAAATTCATTTTAAAAATTCTTGTGATCGAATGATGCAAAAGAGTACACAATTTTGCTTTGCTAGGTTACTGACCATGAACTGAATTAAAAGGAGATGCAAGTTCACTTCTTCTGTTGAATGAAATTCAAATTTACTTGATGTCGGACGTGGGGGACCAGGGGGAAGTTGGGATTCGGATGCACCACAGACCCTGGTGAAAGAAAAAAATCCAAGTCAGCACAAATGGAGAACTTGTGTTAATCTATTCCTGTCAGCGGCAGTAAAAGAAATATCTGTCATGTCTGACCTTGGGCCATGAAGGGTTTTCCAGGCTGGTAGCCTCCGTTGCCCTGCTGGATGAAGTTCTGGGGCATCCGGTAGGGCCAGGATGGAGGCAGGGCGTACTGTGGTGTTTTATTGTGCTCCCATAACCGAGAGCCTTGGCTTACGCCTATAAACTGGGCTGGGTGGCTCGACTCTGTGGAGACAAAATCCGAACACACTCAATAACTCAGAAAAAAAAGACAAAGTTCAATCAAATCTAATAATGTAATATCCCAGTAATACCCTCAGTGAACACTGTTCCTTCACCAGTGATGTTGTGAACCGTTACCAACAGCCTAAAGAACTGCATCTTACAGCATTTAACCCTTCACTGTCTAAAATGATGAAGGTTCACTCATGTGTTACTGTGACCTACCTCCTATCTGTGTTACATCTGTAAACAAGAGTAACGTGTGTAACTACTGTTGACATAGTAGATAGAAAACAGTCAAATACAGTTCTACTTCTGGGTGACTGCAGGTGATGGTACAGAATACTTAAATTAATTTGAAAAATGAATCACAACTGTCCAAAGTTCTGCTGAAATGCGACGTCTGCATGTCTCGATAAGGGGGCGTGGCCACGATCGGAGTGAGCGTGATGTCACCTTGTATTTCAGGGGATCACAGATATATGGTATTTAAATTATTCCTTGATTTTCTCTGTAAAAAGGCAAATAACTACTGTTGCAATTAATATTATAGACTGGGGACAAAATCAGATATGTAATTGTATAATTAGGATGACATGTCAATCTGTATTTAAAGATACAGAAACAGGAAGACAAAAAGACAGAAGGTGCCACCAAAGTTCACCCAGTGAATACCTGACTTGACCACAGTGCCATTGCCCATGAGTGACCCAGGTTGTGCCAAGTGGTTGTGCCAGTGTCCTTCCCGTCCTGGCCCGAGGCCCAGCTGTCTCCCCGCAGGCTGGGCGAAGATGATGCTGGGGTCGTTCAGGTTCATGGGGCTGGGGTTTCCCCCTGAGCCTGTGGGACTCCCGTTCCCCGATGCCGAACGCAGGGCGAATTTCAGACCGGGCGGGGAGGGGCCGTTGGGAGAGGACGTGGTGAGGACTGGTCCGTGTATGGGCCAGGAGGTGGAGGGGATGTGGACTGGGTGATGAGGCAGCCCCTGGGACTGGTGCGACTGGTGCTGGTGAGAGGGAAGAAGCCCCAGTGCGCTGAGCGCCCCTGGGTGGTACTGGCCTGGATGGGAGGTAGGGAAGCTGAAGAGAGACAGGGGGACCTGGGGGTGAACAGGCTGCTTCGGGGGACCAGCGGGACCGGTCTTAATGTGGGAGGGCTGAGGGGAACTGGAGGACTTTGAGGAACTCTGAGGAACAGCTGTAGGCTGCGGGGAGTAGGGCGGAGTCTGCCGACTATCAGACTATTGACAAGAAGAAAGAAAGAAAGAAAGAAAGAAAGAGGTTTTTAAAAAACTGCGGAAAGTCATGCTTTTTATTTTTATATTCAAATATTAATTCATTCAACTGGGAAAACATAATTAGATTTCCAAATGCTGTTTCATTAACAGCTTTGCAGTATCAACAGAGGTTTAAAAGGTCAAGTTCATCCAAATTAGTTTTAATTGCCCACGTTTCAAGATATCATTGTGAACCAGTTTCATAGGGACTATTAATTATGACAAACTTCGTACGCACCCAAGTGTTTTGACATGTGCATAGTATTTTAAAACCAAAAAATTCTACACAATCTCTCAATCACTTGTAATCACGTTCTCAATTACATTTCAGCTGTGAGGCCTTCATCGAGTAAGATGACACAAAACACTAATTCTCACAAATATCATCTTTCACTTCTATGGGCCCAACAAATTCCATTCACTTTTTTTGTATTTGGATGGAGGCAGAAATCTCTACAGGAGTGAGACATTATTTGTATATTTATTTGTAATGTGGGTGAACTGACCCCAGTGTAATGTCTCACTATTGTACTCACACATTCAGAGGGCTGTCTGGTCCGTCCAGGACAGTCTGCAGCTGTCTGGGGAATGGGGATGGACTGGGAGCTCACTACAGTTCGTACCATGTGAGGAACTGGGGAAGAATAAGAATGAGCAGTGTTATTTTCACCCCCTAATGGTCTGAATATCAGCTGTGTGTCACAACGGTTAACCTTTGTTAACAAAGCGCCTCTAACATTTAGAGAAACACTTTGCGAGGTCGTCTTGAGGTTGGATGTGGATATTGTGGATACCTGGTGCTCCGGCGGTCCTCTGTTTGAGGTGGCGGTACTCAGGACAGTCCCTCCTCACGTGCCCCATGTCCCCACACTGGAAACAACGCCTGTCCTTCGGCTCCCGCTCCTCCTCTTTTATGTCCTCGTCTTTGTCGTTTTCCTTCTTCTTCATCCTGGCAGAGGACAAAGTTCAGGGCACATCAAGAAGGGAAGAATAAATCTGACACATTCAGTACAAACACATAAATGAGTGTGCAGACATTCAAACAAGAATAATAACAATGGTACAGGCTCTTAAAAATATCAAATAGAACTCTGTACACCCTCTTCTACCAATCCTGCAAAACTCTTCCAACAAAAAAGGTTAAGATGTTAATTGAAATTCCAACAAAATTCGTATATATACACACACAACAGTTACATATTGATAGCTTCAGCTAGTTATGAGACAGTTATAAAAGAAAGTGCACCTTTACAAACACCACCTATTGAACAGTCTAACCTCACTAAGTTGGCTGAACTTAGTTGGACCGTCAGGAAACAGTCACTCTTCCTGTTGCTCGTCTACTCGTTTCTGAAGTTTTTCCTTCTCAATCACGTGTTTGTCTCTCGGATTTACTTTTCGCTGTCACCTGTTCTTTGTTCCCACTTTGATGGGAAAGGCTAATTTGAGCTGATTTTTACTGTGGAAAAACGTATGAACTTAATCAAATGTACATGTTCTATTACAGCTAAGTATAGTAGCCTTATCACAATTAAAAAAGGAGAAAGAAAATTTAACTTGAGTCGATTTCACCATCACTAATTGTGTTTAAATTCACAGCTACTGTATGCTGGAAATGACAACACTCATTCGTTAAGAAGAGAGAGAGAGTTAGAAACAAACAACTCTCAGACCTGAAACCATAATTGGAAAGCTCCAATGACGCAGTATACTTAACATACAGATAAATAAAGAGAAACTCGCTATTTAATGTTTATTGACACTTAATGAACCTACTCGTAGATCATCCATCTAAATATGACTCGTGTTTCTGGACATCGAAAAAAAAAAAAAAAAAAATCACTGTTGGTTGCTCCCTAATATGTTTTGATGTATAAAAAAAAGCTGTGGACAGTGATGCTTTGAAAAAATAAATGTAATACATTTTATATATAACAAAGAGGGGACAACCTGCGTCTCTTTGGACAGTCCTTCATGTAATGTCCAATCTTCCCGCAGATCCTGCAGCACCTGTCATTGGGCGCCAACTCGCCGTCTGTCAACACCTTTGAGTCAAAGAAGTAGTCCTGCAGCAGAACACAACAGAAACAGCAGCTGGTTTAGACAGTTTCCTCAGGACACAAAGCTGACCGCATTCAAATTGGCTGTTTGTTCAATTTGGTTGTTTGGAGAGTGACGTACCACTTCGGTCCCCATTACGGGGCAGAACGGAGTCCCAAACAACTTTCTCCCGTTTATAAAGGCCTTCATGATGAAGTTTGTCACTAGAGGAAGTAAACAAGGAACATTTTCACACCGTCAGTAAATTGAAGCAGAAGCTGACATGAACACCTGCTTCTTCATTCAAATAGTCATAAACTGCTAGAGAGGCTGGACTGCCAGAGATCAGAAGTCTCTAGTAAAAGGAAAAAAAGACATCCATGACAAGAAAACATATGATAGACTAAGGCACTTACTTTTGCGAGAAACTCCAGCACCAAGATTATGATTCAAATCAAAGGGATCTGAGGAGAAGAACAGATGAGTGAGTGGAAGAGAAGATCCTGGATTGCCTTGGTAGCCAAATGGTTGCAGCGGATGCCAGATAACCGCAACAACCAATGTTCGATTCAGGCATTTATTGCATATCACACCGCTCTGTCTCCCCCAGTTTCCAGTCTGTCTCTACGCTGCCATCTGTCTACTAAAGTCGAAAAATGCCCCAACATAATAGTTTATAGTGTTTGTAGTGTGTGCACCTTCAATAGCGATGCATTTACTGGTCCACTGCTTCTCAAAGGTGGTAAGGCGTTTCCTTTGGCGGATGCTGATGACGTGCTCTTTGAAGTCAAATTCTTCGGTGTAAAAGCGAAGGAGAGCCAACCACAGCTCTCCCACCGACTCCGTGTTCGGCTGCAGCTCTGAGAGATGCCGACGCTGTGCGGACAGAAGAAACACACTTAGTATCTATTTATATTTAATGCTTAGACAGCAGAAGATTTGTGACAGGAGAAACGGCAGATTTGGACAACATTCAGATAATGGCATTTAATGCACTACCATCTCAAATTAAAGATCATCCTTTTTAAAGTCCGTTTTATTTAACTCACCAGATCCTCAAGGTCATCACAAAAGAAAGCATTCCAGCCATCTACCATCCGCTGGGGGACAGTGTTCCCATCAAAGATCTAAAAAGACATCATACAGAGCTATTTATCATGTTTTAGTGAAGGATAAGCCCTTTATGTTTCAGTTAATTTCTTCTGAGTCATTAGTGAGGGGCCGGTACCTCCTGTAAGACCGGAATGACTGGGGGCTGCTTCTGCTGCAGGAAGTAAAGCACCATCAAGATGTAAGCGTAAGATGAGAGGCTTCCTCTGGACGCGTCCCCAATGTCGCAGCGCTGTGAGCACGGAGGGACGTTAGTTAAACAAGCAAGAGAAAACACAGCAACACTTCAGTGGCTTCAGGTGCTCCTCAGAAACATGCTATTAGGTGTATAGTACATGAGATATGAGCAAAAAAGGACAGCTGCAGCTTTCTGGCACCTGCAACCACACCCAACAGTGATGTCACGGTGCCCTGGGCGTTCAGTTACTCTTACAGTTCAAACTTAGCCTCGTTAGTGTGGGTACCAGTACGTAAGTGTTACTAAGTGGAGATTAGTCATTAAATTGAAATGCCTTTTAACAGACAAATTAGTTCTTACATCTCAAACATGATATGTTACAAAATAATTGATAAATGGTGGCGCTTTAACTGTTGACTGAAGCAATCAACAAAACAAGACACGAGCCAACGGACACATGGAAGTGAGACAAAGCTATTCAGTCGGCCTGGAGTTAAGGTTATTTTGTCATAACAGTGTAATTACGGCTTAAGAGTGAGCAGAAGAGTTCATATGGAATATAGATGACATATTTGACAATGAAATGATTATTATTATTTTAAAAGGTGTAATATGGAGTAAAAATGTACAGGCGTCACTTGGTACATCTATGAGTGACATTATATAACATGGAGCCAATAAGGTCCGTTGGGTTGCATGATTAAATTGTTTCCTCTCACTTTAAACTGCACTCTACTCATTCTGAAAATGTATTTTTCCATGTACGCATACAAGAATGAAACTAAGTTTAAATTGGATTGGCTGTTTTATGTTTGGTACATCGCCCTTTGAAACTGTTATTGCCAGAAGTTATATTACAGCTTGTGATACTGCAGTCAAACCCAGTTAGCTTACCTTTCATTGTAATTGACTGCTTCCCATTTTTTCATCCACCGGATCTATAATTGCCATTCACGAGGGCTCGCTGTTACAATGGGCTTAACTGTCTAAACAACTGACATTTCATGTCAATACAATGTCGACAGACACGTTTGAAGGAGGAACTAGGACAGAAAACTACAGCGCAAACTGTCCAAAAGCAACCAGTTAAGGGTTACTGTATCAGTCAGACAGCTTTCACATACCTTTGCAAACACCTTCATTGTGTATCCCAGGAATTGCACACGTGGATCCAGGGCTGCATACGTAGCCAGCATTCTGGTGTTGTGTTGAGCCTACACAGATAACCCGTCAAAATGGATTCATACAGCACTTTCAATAAATAAAAGACTTTATATAACAGTGAACAAAGGTTCTGCTTCACTCACCAGAGTATTGTAAAGGCTAATATCGCCCTCCAAACCACTCTGTCTGTGTTCAAACTTCACAATAGGCACTTTAGCTGTTGTGATAGGCAAGATGTTCTTCAAACCTGTGATGTTGGGAAAAATGGGAGATCACAACCAGTCAGATTCAATCCGTGACACATAAATAGATCTAAAGAGATAATTAGTACGTGTTAATTCACCTGTATGCTTCTTCAGCACTTTTGCGAGGCCTTCAATGATCTCTTTGCAGTTCAGCCTCTGTTCAGACAGATCAAAACACAAATGTAACAGTGGAAGACTATAAGGGTCACATCTCTTCTCTCAATGAGGAAGCGTGAGCTACATTAAATGTTTTGTCCGCCTACCTCTGCAGTCTCGTGGCCCTCCAGAGTCATGCAGATGTCGAGGTCACTGTCGCGGAAGCCAAAGCCATTCTTGGAGGAGCCAAACAAGCAGAGCTGAGCTTTATCTGTGGATTCAGGCACAGGAAGAGTTTCACATTTCCATCCAAATGTAAAATAGACATTCTGTATCATTATCGGAAATTCACAAAACAAATAACAAAGAACTGTTTCTCCAATCATAGCCAGTCTGTTAAAAGTATCTTTAACAGAAATACTGATTCATTCACTCCGATTGATTATTCTTAACTAAACTCTTGTGGTTTAAGCTGTTGTTATTGAAACTCAACAATTCGCCCAGACGTTTCACAATAAAGGCCTTCCAGGGAAGACATTATGTCTTGTGTACAGCTGGAAGGCCTTTTAACTTGAAATGTACAGAGCATTAACAACAACAAATGAACACAACAAAAATGGGAAAATAAATGGAGGGCTTGCAGATAAAATGGCATTAGAAAAAAGGCCGGGTTCTCTCTACATTGAAGGAGTATACATAAAGGCTGTGGTTCAATACTTGTAGTCTATAGTAGTTCATGCTTAATGCTCACCATTGTACTCCTTCCTTATGAACCTCTCCAGGCTGCAGAGGATCTGCTCCCTCTTCTGCTGCTCAGCATGTGTAGGTGACAATTCATCTAAAAAGCAGAACAGAAATTCAATCAGACAGAGCTGCAATGCTTACTCGTTTAATCTCATTAGTCAATCAAAATAAAATTAATCGCAATTTTTTCAGCGGTCTCAATTACAGGGAAATAGATATTTTGGGGTTTTGGTCTGACAAAATTGGACATCATTAATCATTTAAGCCAATCAATAATCTGCTAATTAATCAAAAATGAAGATGATAATTTGCAGCACAACAACCCTTTAATACCGATTATCTAATACTGATTAAGTGATACTGGGCAGGCTTACTTGCAGTGGATAAGAGTAAACCTACTAGTTTAGGTTATAGTTGGGAAGTAAACGTAATGCAGTTTACTTTTAAATGGGTTTAAATCAGTGGTTCTCAACTGGCCTGGCTGCGGGACCCACCATCACCCCTTAATGACAAGCTGCGACCCAAATTGAGGAAAATGTTCAACTTCTCAAATGTATTTAATGAAAAGATGGTGCAGTTTGAACCTGAGCTGAAAATCTAGTAGGGAGCTCTCTTGTGCAGAGAAATTGTTCCCGTCAGTCCCCGTCCCACACATGTTTCACGTAAACGAATAAAACTGTATTGTTTGTGATGTCTGTAGATTCGTCCATTTGTAATGCAAAATGACCACTTGCCTAAATTCAAGCTGTGGGCTGTTGTTTGATGTCATCCGACATGTCTTCAATTCTTCTACTTATAGTGTCATTTGACAGAGGTATAGTGTTCAGTTTATCCTCTGCTGATATTAGCATTACAAGGCATTAACGCCAAATATTGTTAAGGAGTGTGAATAGACGGCACTCTGCATAAAAAAAATCACCTAAAAAAAAAATTAAAAATCACATAAAAAGTGCACCGTTGACTACATACAGAAGCACAATTTGCAGAGCCCATCGAGGATATCTCTGAAGCGGTCGTTCATAGGAGGCAGAGGCTTCAGCTCGATCTTCTTGAAGTCTTCAGGACACTCGTCCTTCAGGTGACCATCTCGCTTGCACATGCTACACACAACAGTTGGGGGCTGGAACGACAAATTTCAAAGACGATGAATGTAATGATTGGCTACGCATGACGGACTCAAACAGAACAAACTGAGTGCAAGATAATGGCGTGCACGTATAGAACAGCATTGTCACAAAACATTTGTGTGGGGCAATTTGTGTGGGGCAATTTCCCCATGTTGGATGTCTTAAATAAATTAATTATTGAATAAATAAATAATATATATACATATACATACATACATACATACATATACATACATACACACATACATATACATACATACACACATACACACATACACATATACATATATACATATACACATATATACACATATACATATATACATATACACACATATACATATATACATATACACATATATACACATACACATATATACATATACATATATACACATACA